CAGCAGGTTTCAAACCATTACACTAATATCCATTCAAACCTCCCCTGGTGCAACTTGAGGCCATTTCCTCTCGCCCCATCATCCGGAATTTGGATGAAGAGACCAGAAGTGACCTGAGGAAGCTCCCGGCAAAGCAACCAGAGGGTGATTTTGATGGCGTGACGTGTTTTGCCCCCTCTCTCTTTGCAGGACTCTCCCCTGAAAGCTGTCCAGATGCTGTGGGTGAACCTGATCATGGACACCTTCGCCTCCTTAGCCCTGGCCACCGAGCCCCCCTCCGAGTCGCTGCTGCTGCGCAAGCCCTACGGCCGCCACAAGCCGCTCATCTCCCGCACCCTGATGAAGCACATACTGGGCCACGCCCTACCAGCTGACCATCATCTTCACCCTGCTTTTTGCAGGTGAGCTTTGAGGCCCCACGAAATGCTGGGGGAGGTGGAAAGGGGCAGAGTCCCAGCCCTGCTTCACAAGCTGCCTTTCCTCGGCGGTGCTGGGGAGTTTTGTTCTCGGCTGTCACTCGGTGTCCTCCTGTTGACCAGGACAGAGTTGATTTAAGAAGGATGAGAAGAGGAGGGGTGGGAAGGGAAGGATTTTTTTTCTCTGCTGGGTGCAGAGTTTTTAGCCAGGGAAGCAGCTTTTCAATGTTTTTAAGGGGATAAGGATTCCGTGGGGCTACCATGGGGGACTCCAGCTGGGTCAAGAGACCTTCAGCAAGAATCTGAGACCCCTAAACCCACCTCCACCCATGCAGAGCAGAAGCAGCAGCATCTCATCTTCTCTTTTCTCTGCCCTTTCACCTCCCTTCCTCAAACCTTTTTAGGGGAGAAGTTCTTTGACATCGACAGCGGGCGGAACGCTCCGCTCCACTCCCCGCCCACCGAGCACTACACCATCGTCTTCAACACCTTTGTCATGATGCAGCTCTTCAATGAGATCAATGCCCGCAAGATCCACGGGGAGAGGAACGTCTTTGAGTCCATCTACCGCAACCCCATCTTCTGCACCGTGGTGCTGGGGACCTTTGCAGCTCAGGTGAAGCTCTGGGACCAGTGTTGGGAATAAAGGTGGTGGGGCTGGGAAGGGACCGTGCCCTCTTCCGTGCCCTTGTTCTTCTCCAGGAGCTTCTTGGTGGTGCAAAACCTGAATATTGAGGTCTAGAGTGGGTTGGGAGGTGCCCGGGGCAGCCAGAGCACCTCTGGTGGTCTGTAAAGTCACTGGCCTAAGTGTGAGGTCCTTGCTTCTCTTGTGATCTCGGGGAAGAAGGAAAATCTGTGTGGCTGTAGGTGACCTTTTCATCCCCTGGCTGAGCTGTGCAGCCCTTGGAGCTCCCCAGTGTGTGACTTGTTCTCTCCTGTGCTGTAGATCATCATCGTGGAGTTTGGTGGGAAGCCCTTCAGCTGCTCTGGGCTCACCCTGAGCCAGTGGTTCTGGTGTATTTTTATCGGAGTGGGAGAGCTCCTCTGGGGCCAGGTAAGAGCCACTCTGGAGAGCAAACCACGTGTCTCCGTGCCACAAAGTGCTCACAGCCCAGCCTGCCTCTGCTCCTGCTGCCTGGCTGCCCTCCTTCTCCCCAGGATTTATTCCAGGTGGCTTTGGAAGGGGGTGCTCAGGCAATTGCAGAATCATTTTGGTTGGAAAAGGCCTTTCAGATCATCAGGTCCAACCCTTCCCCCAGCACTGCCAGGTCCCCACTGCCCCGTATCCCTCACACCACATCTCCACAGCTTGGAAACCCCTCCAGGGGTGGGGATTCCACCACTGCCCTGGGCAGCCTGGCACAGCCCTGGACAAACCTTTCAGAGGAAACATTTTTCCTAATATTCAACCTCAACCTCCCCTGGTGCAACTTGAGGCTGTTTCCTCTTGTCCTGTCCCTTGTTCCTTGGGAGCCGAGCCCGACCCCAACCTGGCTCCAGGCTCCTGTCAGGAGCTGTGCAGAGCCAGAAGGTCTCCCCTGAGCCTCCTTTGCTCCAGGCTCAGCACCCCCAGCTCCCTCAGCTGCTTTTCATAAGACCTGTGCTCTAGACAAGTCCATGCTCCATCCCAGTACCACACCAGCAGTGAGGGGAGGAGGTTGCTGACCTGCTCCTCGTTCCCACCCTGCTTGCAGTGGGGCACAGGCAGCAGTGGCACCTCTCTGCTGAGTCCTGGCACCTCTCTGCTGAGTCCTGGCACCTCTCTGCTGAGTCCTGGCACTCACTGCTCCCCTTGGTCGAGGCTGGTGATGGGCTCCACGCTGCCACAGCCTGCAGCCTAAGGAGCTGCTCTCTCCCTGCCTCTCCCCAGCTGATCTGCACAGTCCCAACCAGCCACCTGAAATTCCTGAAGGAAGCTGGGCATGGCATCACCAAGGAGGAGATCCCAGAGGAGGAGCTGCCTGAAGACGTGGATGAGATCGACCACGCTGAAATGGAGCTGAGGCGTGGGCAGATCCTGTGGTTCAGGGGTCTCAACAGGATACAGACACAGGTACTGTGGGGCAGGGGGTGCTCTGGGGCTCTTCCTTCTCTCTCTCTCTCTTCCTGAAGGAAGCTGGGCATGGCATCACCAAGGAGGAGATCCCAGAGGAGGAGCTGCCTGAAGACGTGGATGAGATCGACCACGCTGAAATGGAGCTGAGGCGTGGGCAGATCCTGTGGTTCAGGGGTCTCAACAGGATACAGACACAGGTACTGTGGGGCAGGGGGTGCTCTGGGGCTCTTCCTTCTCTCTCTCTCTCTCTCTCTCTCTCTCTCTGGGAAGAGGTGACGGCTGCTGTTTGGAGGATGCCATCACCTCCTGGGCTAGACTTCTACCACCTGTGCCTTTCTGGGTCTGCTTTGGTTGGGGACCCCAGGACAGCCTGGCTTTTGGGGGACAGCTCGGGGCTGGGGGGGAGGCACCGGGCTGGTGTGGTGCAGAGCATGGTGTCCTGCAGCCTGGTCTGGATGTGCTGCTGATGGGCACCTCAGGTGGCAGAAGAGGGGCTCAGAAGCTGGAGTGGGGGCTGTGGAGCCACCCTGTTGTGCAGGAGGTCAGAATTGAAGCTGCTCTGGGTCACTGCTGGGATGTGGCTCCTGGTGGGAATGTGCCCAGGAGGGATCTGTCTGGGTGGGACCCTCTCTGGTCTCATTCCTCTGCTGTTCTCTGTCCTTCCTGATGGCCAAGGGCTCTTGCCACCACTCCCTGCCAGCTCTCTGGGCTCCTTGCCTGGAGCTCTCGGCCCCGCAGCACTCAAGAGGAGGAGAGTGAGTCTGTTGGTGTGGTTTTTACATCAGCTGTTTCTCCCTGACTCAGTTCTTCCTGCAAGGGTGGTTTTTCCCTCAGACAGCTGCCAGGGCAGGGCAGGGAGATCTCCCTGCAGTGAGGTCACTGCCTGTCATCTTTCCTCAAGGCCTGGGCAGAGCTGCCCCGTGGAGGAAAGCTGTAGGTCCCCAGTGGCCCCTGGCATGCAAGGGCTGCTGTGTTCCCTTCTGTTCCTCCTCCTCCTCTGGCCCTCCAATAAATGGAGGTGGCCAAAATGGCCCAGTCACAGGGACTGGGGCGAGCACAGGAGCTGTGTTTGCCACGTTCACTTTGCTTCTCCTCTGTGAGTCGTTGCCTTGATGGTTTCGTGGTGAGGCTCAGCCTTGGTCCCCTGCCCGTGGTGAGGGGTGGCTCTTCTGGTTGCTGGTGCTTTGTGGGGCTGAGCTGCCAGCTCGGTCTGGTTCAATCACATGAAAGATGTGCAGGGAGCCCTGGGCTGTTCCAGAAGTGGTCCAGAGGTGTTGGAGGCCTGGTAGGTATGACTGGCTGCAGTACCAGTGGCCAGGCGTGGCCAGAGCCTCCAAGGTGTCCCCTGCAGCTCTGCTGGACCTGGGCTGAATGAGTTCTTGCAACATGAAAAGCAATCCTGGACGCTGGCACATGCTGGAGGCTCTTCAGCAGCTCCCCTGGTGCCCCTTCCCCAGGAGCAGCGTGGGCAAGCTGGGGTGGCACAGGGCTGTGCTGTGCCAGGGGGCTGGCTGGCACCAGGCTGGGGTGCCGAGTGCCCGCAAAGCCACCACGGTGGCACCTGGGTGCTGCTCCTGGTTCCTCCAGCCTTGGTGCATGAGGGTGCCTCCTCTCTGCGGCCCTGCTGCCAGTCCTGCGCCGTGCCCTGAGCCTGGGAGAGGGGCTGGAGCATTGTCCAGCCCCCGGGTCGTGTGTCCCACGGGGCTGAGGGACTGGGAACCCTTTCCCAGTGTGGTTCTCTGGAGCCCCAGCTGCCAGCTCGCGCCTCTGCCCGCCCACCCTCTCTCTCCTCTGCTCCTCCTGCAGATTGTCAGGGTGTCCTGAGGTGTTCCCTCCATTGCAGGCTCTCTCTTGGTGGGGGGCTAATCCCTGCCCCTCTCACACCCCCGAGAGCGGGGCAGAGGCTGGGAGCAGACCAGCAGACCTCCCCTCTGCTCCCAGTAACACCAGCTGAACCTGGTGTGGGTTTAGGGGAGCATGGGGTGTATATGTGGGGGGCTCTCTCCTCCCTCCTCTCCCCCTCTCCATCCTCCTCCTTCTTCCTGTCCGTGTGTGTCTGCCCGACCTCCCTGCTCCCCTCCATCCATCCCTGACCCCTCTCCCTGTCTCTGGCCGGGGCGACGCTATCTCACTCTCTGGTTCTTTGCAGATGGACGTAGTTTACACATTCCAGACCGGCGCCTCCTCTTTGCAGGGAGCCCTCAGGAGACAGCCTTCCATCGTGAGCCAGCACCACGATGTAAAAAATGTTTCTAGCCCAACCCATGTAGCTCTTTCCTCCGTCAATTCCACTCCCACCACTTCTGCTGTTGCTGCTGCTGCTGCATCTCCTCCTGCGGGCAGTGAGTGATAGTCTATTACAATGCATGACTTCTAATAACCACAGAGAGCACCTGCACCAACCTAACCCAGCCTGTTCTCTCTCTCTAAACCTTGACTCGCACACTGATGCCCAAAATGAGAAGGATGGGGTGGGAGAGAAGTTTTAAGTCAATTTGGTTTCATGCCGTTGCATCTTCCACAAGTTTGCCATATTTTCTGGTCCTTCCCCCCCTGCCTTCCTTGTTGCTTTCTCCATTTTTTCCTTCTCTCCTCCTTTGCAGGACTGATGTATGAATCCACCCTCCTGAAGGGTGTAAAAATGGGTGGTTCTCGTGAAAAGAGCCACGTGTTCGTGAGCCAACTCAAAGCTTTGCTGGGAAAAGGGCACGTTGCACCCCAAAGCTGCCCTTTCTTTCTGCTGCAGCTCTGCCCAGCCCCAAGGTGCCCCAGGAGGGCAGGGATGGGCAGAGGCGTTGCTTTAACAAAGCTTTTTGGAGGCAGAGCAGCCGCTCAGACCTTCCCAGAGCATTACTGGGATGGGCTGAGGCCACGGTGATGGGCTGCCTGGATGTTCTCTGCCTCTTGCACGTGTCCTGAGGAGGGCTGTTGGCTCCTGCCGTGTGTTGTGAGAGGGCTGTTGGCTCCTGCCCTGTGTTGAGAAGGGCTGTTGGCTCCTGCCCTGTGTTGTGAGAGGGCTGTTGGCTCCTGCCATGGTGGGGGGGCTGGATGGGGGGGGGGGCCAGCCACTTCTCGTGGCTCAGCTGGTCTGTGGTGACCCATGGGAGTCACTCCCCTGCAGCTCAAGCTGTGTTTCAGAGCTGCCTTGTAAACCAGCAGCCTCCCCCAGCCCCTCTGCAAGCTTGCATGTCTCAGACAGAGCTGAGCGAGCCCTTTGCTGCCCCAGAGCTCTGTGGGGCCAGCCCAGGACCCCCCCAGGGGGGGCATTGCCACCCTGTCCTGCCCACGCTGGTTCTCAGCACGTGCCGATGGGGACGGGCAACGC